ATATATATATATATATATATATATATATATATATAAATATATATATATATATATATATATATATAATATATATATATATATATATATATATATATATATATATATATATGTATATATATTTATATATATACACCCCCTCCTGTGTATTAAGCACATAAGAGTACGCATTTGTTTTTTGTTTTTTTCTTTTGTTGTAATCACTATTTGTGCAAAGTGAGATTCTTGTTTCTATAACTTTGTCATTTAGTAACTTCCTAATTTCCTAATAATCATTAAAAAAAAAGATGATATCTGTTTAAAATTAAAACAAATTTTATGTATATGTATATATATTAAGGTAAGACATGGCCTACTATAAATACACGTCCGAGTTTGTTTGTTTTACGGAAAAAAATAGGAGGCCAGTTTTATTTGCTGTTTGAAACGATATCTTTAAACAGAAGGCTTTTTTTTTCTTGTTATATATAATGTTTTTTGATTATATATGAATTTTATTATTTAAAAACTTTGGCATAAAAATTTGCCGAATGGTCACACACGAGCAGTGAACGCCTGAGGTAAGAAATGAAGTACATTAGAATAAAGGAGAATTATTTATTAGACAAAGCATATTTTGACAGTTGTTAAGACAAAAATAAAGATTAATTAGAGGAATATTTAAAAATAAAAAAGACAGTCTATACACCCACAACAATAATAAAAATAAAAACAAATTTAAAAAAATAAAAAAAATGTTTTATAAACACCAATATGAACGAAGATATATATCACCAGACAAAAATTTGTAAAACAAAAAACGGATCACAAAATAAAAAATCTGATAACAACAATTAGAGGCATTTAATAATGGAAAAAAAAAGCATTAATGCTAATGTGTAAACATAATTTGTGTATTGATTAAGTAATAAACATCTCCTCAGAGTCGCGTCTATTATTACTGGCGTTTCGATGAGGATCAGCATTTTTAACTAGTTTATCCCGTCAGACAAACGTCATCGCCACTTATGCAAATAAAATTTATAAGAAATAAAACCAAATAGGTCTTATTATCAGATAGCAGTATACCTCATTAGAAAAAAATTTTATATTAACAAAACAACAATAGCCTTAAATAAACTCTAACGCTGTCATAGATACCTCATTCGAATTATGACAACCAATCAAAAGTGTAAGATAATGAGCAGCCCGCGAAACCCATAATCATAACAATAATTGAAAAATATATGATAGCGAAAAAGAACGTTGCACAAAACCCTTAAGAATGTATGCGGCATATATGTAAACATTTAATGAAGGATATAAAAATATTCTCTGAATAATAATAAAGATGAAAAATGCACCTTGTGAAAATTAAAACAAAGCTGAGTAATGAATGAAACAAACAGTAATAATATGAAAATCAAGAGATAAATAATATATCAACAAACACTGTAACAAGACTAACTAAATATTGCAATAAAACCAGATAATTTTAAGCCAAATGAGTGGTTAAAAAACTAGCCGTGGATAATATAAGTCTTTTTTACGGTCCGAACTAAAAGAAACTTTGAGACCATATCTAAAGTAAAATTTCCGAAAAGTAATTATGAGTTTAATTATGAGGAACTTATTAATTTTGATGTTTTAAATAAGATTTTAATTATGTAGCAATATAAATACAATATTTAAATTAGACATATTTATAACACCTTGTTGCTTTTGAGATATGATTATTTTTATTGTGCTTCAAAAATATAAGAAATACTTTTATTTTCATACCTAGAATTCTTAATATAATGCCAAACAAGTGTGCAGTGATATACTGTTGCAGTGGATAAAAAAGTAAATCATCAAATACAAATTTGAATACTCTGAAATTGACTTCAGAATCAACTGTTTATAACAAAGAAAATAGTGTTTTTGCGTTTCCTGATGTTTTTATAAGACCTGAGTTAAGAAAAAAATGGATTAAGTTTGTTAATAGAAAAAATTGGTTTCCTACAGAACATTCAGGTGTTTGTAGTGCACACTTTGATCCAAAGTTTTTAAAGCATGGTGTTAGAATGACTCTAATTTATGATCTTCATCCAATACCAAATATTTATTCAAATAATGTAATGAAAAAAATTCCACCTTCTCTGTTATTATCTATTCCAGGTTTATCAAGAAAATCTCCAACTAGATGCGTCACGAGCATTAAAGATGAATCAGATATTTTTATGGAAAAAGATTCTATCAAAGACCTAGAAATGTTAGATTCATCTTCAAGACCTGTTGGCTTTATTTTTTAAAAATATGACTCCCATGTTTTATATTATTGTATTTTTAATGTGGCATCTATTGATAATACTCCCTGTATTGAATCAATACAAGTTGATTCTCCTTTGCATGTTAAGTTGCATCACAATGGATGTCAAATTCCTCTTCCAAAGTGGTTTAAGCAAAATCAATATTTACTTAAAAATATTAACATATTAGAAAACCTTGCATCATATATGCGTATTTTTGTTGCAGAAAAAAAAAAACATTTTAGATAAAATTCATAGTATCCAATAATATAAACCGAAAGGCAGGAAACCATATTCATCTGAAGTTCTTCGTTTTTTACTATTGCAACGCTTTACTTGAAAGCAAGCATACATTCAATTTCAAGAAAAAATACCTTTACTGTCATTGTCAGTTTTTAAAAAATTAGAAGCTGGAGGAATTGAACCCTTAAAAGGTATTAAGTTACTTTTAGAGAAAGGAAAAGTAGACCCACACTGTATTTTAATGTTGGATGAAATGTATTTACAGAAATGTAGTGAGTATAGTGGCGGTAAACATGTTGATTTGGATAAAAATTGTAACTTTTTCAAAGGTATCCTTGTTTGTATGAGTGTGAGTTTAAAAAAATCTATCCCTTATGTCATAAAGTCTTGTCCACAAACAAAAATAAATGGAGATTTATTTTTGTTTGTGGACAAAAACAGTTTTAATTGATATTAAAGAAAGTTTTTCTATTGAAATTAGCAGGATTTAATGTACGTTCAATAGTTGCAGACAATCATTCTATAAATGTATCAGGATAAGGACAGTTGATTAAATGCTTTGCAACTGGTAAATCTGAAGAAGTAAATAAAATTTACCTTATGTATAATAGTATTCATCATTAAAAAATATTCAAAATAATCTATTTAATTCAGCGATATATATTCCCTGTTTTCCATTTCAATGGACTTTATGATCCTATTTCAGTTACTGCTGGTGAAATATCTTGGCATCTTCTCCATAAAATTTACGAAAAGGATGAAAAACTTATTGCTAATTTACGTAAGACACATGAACTCACATTGCAAACTTTTCATCCAGAAAATGAGAAGCAAAGTGTTCCTCTTGCTTTGAATGTTTTTCATAAAACTACGTCAGCTGCCATTTAAAAAATAAATCTTGCGGAAAATAACTTTTCCGCAAGATTTATCTGCAGCTGAATTTTTACTCCGTGTTTATAGTTGGTGGTTAATATCGAATTCAAAGTCAAAATGAGTGGAGGTCGTTTTCTTGTTGGTTAACGTGAAATTAAATCTTCTGAGAGAATACTAGAATACTTCAAATTAAATCTCTAATGAAAGAAGATATAAATTACTGGGATTTAAATCTTAAACCAGAGATCAGTCTAGATCTATCATGTGAAATCGATTTTGAAAATGATTTTAAAGAGATTGATTTAGACGATGACAGCAAGGAGGTGGCAATCTACATTGCAGGATTTATTATGAAAAAAATCTCTGAAAGGTTTATTTGTTCTGAATGTGAAGTGTTATTAAATCATGAGAAGGTCACCATTTGTGTTGAGTATATAAATTTTCTCTCTAGAGGGGGCTTCAATTACCTGGAAAACATCTTGCATCATATATATCCCATTGCTTTGCTAAAACTAGATTTAGCTCAAGAAATTTTTTTTTTAAATGCTGATAATATCAGATATGCTGCAAGAACGCTCCTAAATCTTGGAAGAGAAGGGATTTTCATGTGTCCTCAGCATTTTAATAATGCTATAACATTTATAAATAATATAATTATAAACATATACTTTAACAACAAGCAAATAATTATCAACGGTGGAAAAAAAAAGACGAGATTGTTGCTTTTAAATCAAAGAAAACAAAAAGAAAGCATTATGATTAATCTATTTGTAGTTGTTAATTTCACAGTATTTTAAAATTTATTGTGATTATGAATGTTTATATTACTTTAAATAAAAAAGAATTTTAAACAGTTGCTTATTTGTTTTAATAATTTTTATTTTTATTATTCCAGCATTTTCTATGAAAACTCGATAATTACAAAAAAAAAAAAAAACTGTCCTCCTAATTTTTTCCCGTAAAAACCAACAAACCCGGCCGTGTATTTATAGTAGGCCATGGGTAAGAAAAGCATACGGCGATAAAGTCTTAAAATAGATAAGGACAAGTGTAATATAAAGAACTTTAAGCCCCTGTTTATCTATAAAACTAACCGTTCACTTTAGCTTATCAAGTCTTTTATTTACTTTAAAAACAGAGCTAATTGTGTGTTGTTTTTAATTAAAATTAGTTTTTTATTAACACTCACTGTTCGCATAAGCATATCTAGTGTTTTATATACTTCAAAAACAGAGCTAACTGTGTGTTGTTTTCAATTAAAATTAGGCTGAAACCTATTCCACTTTAACAGATTGACTTTTTCAAAGTTACTACAAACTAATGTAAACTAACGGCGCTTCGGTTTGTTAGAATTTATGATTCGTCAACTTATTTTAGTAAACTAAAGTATTAGTTAAATAATTATAGTTCAGAAAGTTTGTTCAGTAATTTTAACACACTCATAATAGTTAATATACGAGTTTTGGTTCAACTAAAATTAACTTTATCTTCAAACACAAACATTACATTTAATACTAATGTTAAACCAACGTGAATAATTAATGGATTTAATAATACCAAAAATAAAATATATCAAACAAAACGTTAATTAAATCTAATTAAGAATGAACAACTTACTTGAAGCAGGTAGACACGTTTGTGGTATGTACTATAAAGTATATATATATATATATATATATATATATATATATATATATATATATATATATATATATATATATATATATATATATATATATATATATATATATATATATTTACATATGTATGCATATGTATACATATGTATACATATATATACATAAAACAAATAACATTAACCGTTAAATATTTAAAAAATGTAAAACTTACAATTAGAGTGGTTTGTGATGGTTGAGTTGTTACCAGATTCCTTGCAACAAAAGTTAATTGTACCAAAAAGCTCCATATCTATCAAATAATCATTTTTTTTAACATTTGGCAACTAAATATATTAACGCAGGGTGTTAAATATATTAACGACGACACCAGGGTGCCAGGATGCACTTCCTTCCCCCACCCTTTATTTTTAGGGTAAGGCGGGGTGACTTCGTCATGAAGTAAATTTGTCACTTATGCAACTCAGCTTTAAAATAATAATGCATAAAAATTAAGAAATCTAGTTCCTAGATTTTTTTGAAAGTTTTTTTAAATGATATTGGTAGGATATTATTAAATAAGTGTTTTATATATTTTCTTTTGATTATTCTTTAAATACTGCGAGTAAATATCGAAGTTGAAAAAATATTTTTCTGCTTAAATGCTTATCATCAAAAATTAATCAAAATGCGCGATGTCTTGACCACAAAGTATATTTTTTTTTATAGATCGATGTCAACATTTTTAAAATAAAAATTTAAGTTACTATATGTTTTCTTTTGGAATCTTTACGCAATAATTGTTATCACATACTCAAATGAGGAGCAACTTCGCCGTTTAAGAAAAGATAATACTAAAGATAAATTAGGTCCTTTAATCACCCAACTTTTAAACTGTGGAGCGCCGTTTGAAAGAAAATAAAGTTGTGCTGAAAATGTACTTCAAAGATACTTGTACTTAAAAATGCACTTGACATTTTATCTATAAGATGTTTTTCAGAATATATTAGTTTACAGTAAGTTTTTAAAACTTTTTAAAGTATGAACGCGAATTAAATTATGAACGTGACTCTGATGTAAACACATGTAAAGACACACGTAAACAAGCTTATTATAATGTATAGACTAAAATGTATATATAGCAAATAAAAAGTTTTTAAAGTCTGATTTATAATTGTGATGCAAGCGTCCTTTCAGATGAAGTGGTTTTGTGTTAAGGGCTCTCGTGAGGTACAAAAGTTAACTATTGGTGAATCTGGCACACTAACAACATACCTGGCCACTGTCAATGCAGCAGGGGACAGTTGACCACCATTTTTTATATTTAAAGGAACAAAGATTTCAGATGCATCTATATTTCCTTTGCGTAAAAAAGTACATTGAGTAAAAGCGGATATATTGATTAAGAGATGTTTGTTGACTTTTTTTACATCATTTTAATGATTTTCTTACAAAATTAGATGGGAAAAAAGTACTTTTTTTATATATAATTAATTTTTAAAGCAATTTAATTAGCAATAGAGATGGATATTGAAATAATATGTATTCTACCTTATAGTACACATCACCTTCAACCACTTGACACACATGGTAATAATGTAGTTAAACATATGTGGTCTTTGGCCTTGTTTAATTGCTTAGCTAAAAATGATAATATTTCTATGCCTCGTTGAAACTTTCACATTAATTTTAACAAAATATTGCAACTTTCACGTTATTGTTAACAAAATATGGCCCAACATACTTACAAAAAGACGATTGATTTTTAATGCGTTTTACCATTGCCGTTTGCATTCCCTAAAAAAATACAGTAAAAGACTTCGAATACAAAAAAAAAAATAATAATAACAATCTGCAAGACCCAAATTTATCTGTTTTAAGGACTATTGTATTTTCTCCAAGATTGGCTTAAATATTTATATTCGCATGTTCCGGATGTTTTGGAGTTGAAACATATGGAAAATGTTTGCAAAAGACATATAAACAACTTGTAAATTTTTAAATAGTCATAGCGATATCATTTTTGTCATTGCTTTAACGAGTTATTTTGTGCGCTAGCGCGATCAGACGGTTTTCATTTATGCCAAAATCATTATTTGATATTTTCTAGTTAAAGTTTAACAAATGACATCCTTTTAGATGTTTTAGAAGTTAAGAAACTGACTTTCATTATTTCTATCTTGTCGTTATCTGAGGATAATTTCATCTGTAGCTTTCTGTAGGCTATCAGCAGTTCTATCTACATCACTTAGGGGTTTACTGTTCTAGATTATTGAAATCATCCTACTATTACGCCAAAAATAATGCTTTATATCAAAGTTTTCTTTTCTCCTAGGTAAGCTGTCTTTACCACTAGTAAGTAATTTTGTCTATTGCCCAAGTGACGTATTTTTCAATTAGTTTAATTGTACTTACGAACTCGCCTCGTAACTGACGAATTTGCCCCTCAAGACTTGATGATGAAAAAATCAAGTCCTACGCTAAAGTAACTTTAGAATTTATTTTGATTCAATACATTAACAAAGTATAGATCCTAATTAATAAAAAAATGCTTTTAAACTAGAAAAGCTTACTTAATTATATGCAATCTCATTTTGTTAAAGTAAAATATGACGAACTTGCCCCGCCTTACCCTACTTTAGATTTTATTACTACACTTTAGACTACATTACTACATTAGTCTTCGAGGAGAATTTGTTTGTTGCAAAGATTATCAAGGTTATCAGTTTGAGTGTTCTAAAGATATTTGTTAAAAGATATTTAACAGGGCCGACGATACAGGGGGGCTAGGGGGCATGTGCCCCCTATTCTTCCCCCCCCCCTCCCTCCCAACCACCACCACTTCCTTTTTGAAAAACTTTTTTTTTAGAAAAATCCTAATAAAGAGGATTTTTTGACAAATTGGTAATTTTGCACTCTTTTCCCTCCCCCCCCCCCCCCATTTCAAAACCCGTGTTTAAAAATTAATTTAAGATAATAATTTATGATTTACTAAATTAAGATATTATAATTTAAGATATTATAAGTTAAGATATTATTAGTTAAGATATTATAAGTAAAGATATTATAATTTAAAATATTATAAATTAAGAGGTCTTAACATAAGAGGATTTAAGTTTTAAATTTTTAAATTAAGATGAGACAAGGATTGCAATACCCTTGTATGATACTCCTTGAGTTCAAAAATTAGTCTCTATATATGTTACCTTTAAAATATGTTACCTTTTTGTTATGCTATATATGTTACCTTTAAAATATGTTACCTTTTTGAAATTTCTTTTTATCAAGTTGCGCTTGTCAAATACTTTTTTACTTTTACAAGTAATTTTTTATTTATTTCACCTTATGAAACATTTAAAATTTTAAGCGTTTAAAATTTTAATTGCTGTTTTAAAAGATACTTAATAATAAGCAATCGCGCAAAAATATATTTGCGAAATGCCTGTCTTTACAACTAAAATACAGTGGTTTTCATAAATTTAGACGCACTCATATTTGAGAATAGAAATTTTTAGTTTTTTAACGATAAAACAATGACGAAAAAAGATTTCGGTTAAGTTTTTTTTCTATTTATTAGATAAATACATACAGAATACAAAAATTTAAAAAAAGTTTACAAAAAAAAATGAAATACTAAGTAATAATTAGGTACAACTAAATGGTATTAAAAAAATTAGACAAAAAAAATTATTCATAAATTTAGACGCACGATACATTAGAAGGCGTAATTTATGAACCAATCAATATTTTGTGTATCCGCTTTTTGCTTTAATACAACTAAAAACTCTTCTAGGTATAGACTCAACAAGATTTTTGCGCATTGCTTCTAGGACCCCATACCAGGTCTCCTTAAGGAATTCCTTCAGCTGACCAAGTGTGGAAATTTGAACCTTTGCTAATTCACGGTCAATCCAAGCCCAAATGTTTTCAATCGAGTTCAAATCAGGTGAGTATGGAGGCTACGGTATTGTCATGATATTATTATTGTTGAACCACTCCTTTGTATAGTATACAGTATGTGCAGTGCATCTTGTTGAAGTTTCTATGGTTTATCATTGAGCATAAGCAGGTCAATTGATGGAATTAAGTTGTTTTCCAGTACTTCTACGTATATTCTGGAGTTGATTCTTCCGGTGTATGTTTGGCACATACCAACACCTTTGTAATTGAAGCATGACCAAATTCCTATCGAGCCTTCTCCACTTTGTACAGTCGGTCTAATGTACCTGGCGTAATACTTTTCGTGAGCCATTCTTTTGACTGTTATGTTAGATTTGCGATTGGTAAGCTTAAAGTTACTCTCATCACTTTACATAATGTTTTCCCATTGTTCTATTGTCAAATACCTTCTTTCACGACACCATTTTAGTCTCCTTTGTTTATCATATGGACGCAGAAGCGGTTTCTTCAAAACAGTGTAGACTCCAATCTTGTATTTGATAAGTATTCGGCGGACTATGCTTTGAGAAATAGATGTATTTTGCGTTGTATTGAATTCTGTGGTCAATTCTTTGTAACTAATTCTTGGATTAGCTCTGACAGCTCTAAAACGAACACTGTCGTCCATTCTGGTGGTTGACAAGGGTCTAGCTGGCCTCGTTTTCTCGCTGGCACCACCAGTGTGAAGAAAGTTTTGTTTCGTTGTCCGAACGCATTTCTCAGAAAATCCAATTAACTTGGCAATTTCTCTATTACTTTTGGTTCCTTCTTTGATGTGCGCAATAATTTGCCATCTTTCACCTTGAGTGATACGTCTTTTGCCCATTTTTCGCGTCTTTTTAGTGAAAAACTAACTTAACTTTTGTTTATTTATTAAATAATGATTAACTAATTCCAGGTAAATCATATTTATATAAGGTTTTTTGACAAAACCAATTAATTTAGGCCTATTAATGAGAAATATGGGAAAAACCTACTAATTAACTATCAATTAACAAGATATAAGACTTTTTTGATTGTGCGTCTAAATTTATGAACAAAATAAAATCAAGCTTATCAATTAACTTTTTTGTGTTAATCGGTATAGAATGAGAAATAAACATCCTGTAAAAAAAATGAAGGTACTCTATAATAGAGTTTTACTTCCTCTTTTAAATTATAAATCAAACATAGCGGTAGCACTTTTATTTAATTTTTATTTTGAGTATTTTCTTACATATATGAAGAAAAAAAAATGAATGCGTCTAAATTTATGAAAGCTACTGTAAAAGTAAGAACAAGGAATGTTAATTTAATAAAGAAATTATTTGATTAAGCTAACAACTAAATGTGAGACGACAATCAAATTAGAAAAATATCACTTATTTAAGAGAG